TTCAATTCCTCGGCCTGCCGCGGCTGCCGCAGCCGCCGTCCCTCCTCCCTTCGTCCCCGGTCCCCGAGGCTCCGGGGTGCAGCGGCCGCTGCAACTTTCTCCTGTGATACCCCCTCTTTGTTATGGAGCAGCTGATCCGCTGACATCACCCGGCGCCGGTGCGCTCCCTCCCTCGTTGATTGACAGTTCCCTGTCCTTTCCCAGAAGTGAGGATCCTTAGAACCGAAGGCGCTTCGGGGCCGCGCCGCCTCTGCTAGGCTGTGGGCAGGCCCGGCGGCGTTTTACCTTTGGGCTGGGCGCGATGCGCGACAGCCACGCGGTCCTGGTAGCCGCCGACTGCTCAATAGCACTGGGGATCGCGGGGGTATCCGCCCTGGGGTTGGCGGGGGCTCGGAGCGCAGCCACCAGTGACTGGGAAATGTGCGGTGCAGGGTTTCCCCACCACTATCCCCCTCCAGGATAGCTAGAGCTCACGCGGAGCTAAGGGAGCCTTTCTGATGCACCTGAGCCTCGACTTCCTCTCGCCCCGGCGCTCCCACTTCACCCGGCTTGCCACCACCCGGAGCTACAAAGTGCCGCGCGCACAGGAGCGCAGGGTGCCCCCCCACGGCCCAGCTTCGCTTCCACAATCCAGTTTCCCAGACTCCAAGGGGGCGACCTGCGCTCCGGATTCCGCCGGACTGCAGGTCCCACCCAAGAGTCCCCAGTCTCCACCCTCTTTAGCATCTCCAGGCCGCTGGGGAGATTCAGGAATTCACCAAACCCAAATGGTAGCAGGCTAGTAATCGGGGCCTCACCCGAGGCTTGGCAGGTCCCCTCTCGCCCTTGTCTTGGAGATGGAGCCACCAAGTGGAGAGCTGGAGCCAGGACCCCGTGTCTAGCGCGCCTCCTGTCGCCTCCTGTCCTGTCCGTGTGATGTCCCTAGATGTCTTTCTGGTTTCTCCAAGTGCCATCCACTTCGCAGATTCAGGCGTCTTTGAGGGAAGAAAACCCGGGTCCCCACCCCAGCCACTTAAGAGTGCCATTATGGCTCTACCTCTTACAGGTGGCAGTAAAGGGCCGCTTTAAATAGCGGGTTAAATGGATTCAGATGTACACAATGTACCGTGGAATTACCGGGTGCCGGTCTGGCCTTCTGCCAAGAACAGCCACCGCGGCGGGTGGGAGGGGTGGGGCAGGAAGCAAAGAAACTTGTTCCATTTGATTTGCTGAACAATGAATGAGGCACGATTTCACAGCACTTCCAACGCCTGGGAGAGTCAGAGCCCTCAACTTCTCTTCCCGCCCCGCCCCCCCCCCCCCCCCCCACTCCCTTTTGAGACAAGGTCTCCTGTAGCCCAGGCCTCCAACTCTCTGTACAGGAGGATGAACTGATGATCCTCAGGCCTCCATCTCCCCACCGCAGCAATGACAAGCATTGGCCAGCATGCTGAGTTTACAGGATACTGAACAATCAATCCAGCTTCTTCCAACTGTTCCAACTGTGCGCCACCCCTGGCTGTCATATGTCAGGTTTAACAAACAAACAAACAAACAAACAAACAAACAAAACGGACGTGGTGGCGCACGCCTTTAGTCCCAGCAGTGGGAAGGCGGAGGCAGGCAGATCTCTGAGTTCTAGGCAAGCCTGGTGGTCTACAGAGTGAGTTTCAGGTCAGCCAAAAACCCCGTCTTGAAGGGGGAAAAAGTATCTAAGAAAAATTATAGAGATATTAGCCCCAAATACTATCAAGAATTTTAGCTCCACTCTGGCCCCTTTGGAAAGCGGAAGGGTGTGGAAGATCAGTTAGGGTTTTAGCGACCCTCAGCTGCCCATGCGCTGGGAAGGCCACTCCAGCAGTATGGGTTCCTCTTCCTGGGTATTAGATATTCTGGTCACACGGGGAGAGACTCCTCTGGTTTAGGCTGGATTACCCTTTGGACCTTTAGTCTGGGCTACCCCCTGTAGGGTCCTCTGGCCCAGGCTACACTGTTCTGAAGTCTTCCAGACCCCCCTGAGGTCTGTCTTAGGTTTGACCTCCTTAAGGTCTTCCAGGGCAGGTACCTGGCCCCTTAGGCTCCACAGAAATCAGTTCCTTTAGTGAAAGATGAAAGAGCACCTTCAGATTATAATTTAAATTTTATTACTTATAAATTAAAATTTAATTTAAAACATCTTTTAAAAAAGATTTTTTATTTGTGTGTATGTGTGTGGTGTGTGGGGTGTGTGTGTGTGTGTGTGTGTGTGTGTGTGAGAGAGAGAGAGAGAGAGAGAGAGAGAGAGAGAGAGAGAGAGAGAGAGTCTGTGTGTCTCTGTGAGTGGATGCTGTGTATATGAGGGTACCTAAGGAGGCCAGATAGCTTCAGAATCTGGGTCTGGAGCTACAGACAGTAGTGAGCCCTTGAATGTAGGTGCTGGGAACCAAACTTGAGTCTTCTGGAAGATCAGCAGGTGCTCCTAACTGCTGAGCCATCTGCGGGCCCCATATTACACCACTTACTACATGAACTACAGAAACAGGATTTACTGAGTGTCGGTATGTACATATGTGTGTATGTGTCTGTGCACATGTGTGTGCTAGCCAGAGGAAAACTTCAGATGTCCTTCAGTTACTGTTCATTTTTTTTTTTTTTTTTTTTTTTTGGACAGGCTCTCTTACTTGCCTGGAACTCACAGAGTAGGCTAGGCCTCAGAAATCCACCTGTGTCTGCCTTCCCAGTGGCTGGGATTACACCCATGCACCTCCAAATTTGCCTTTTTTTCCCCCTTTTAATTGAACATCTCCTGTTCCTTATTCTGATTTTTTGAAAGGGCATACTGCTTCATCTCTTTCGGGTTTTGAGCTATATGATATTTCCTCTTGTTTTCAGTGTTTACATATCATCATTTTCCTCACTCAGGATACCGGTGTCCAAAGAATATCAGATACTCATCTCCTTCAGTTACTGGACAATAAAAGTGCTGGAAACTGAAGGAAGAAGCAAAAATAATAATGTATTTCTTTACGGAAAGGGGGTAATGTCAGGGCAGGAAACGTCCCCTCAGAACATGGCAGGACAGTATGTATAATGGGAGGGCTGGGTGAGGGGAAGGCTGTCACAAGTGTTACCTCTCTGTCTGTGGTTTCAGAGGAGAGTGTCCTCTTGGAGGAGCGCGCTTTTCCCAGCCTAGCAGTCTACCTCTGTCAAGGGCTTCCATGTGCTCCTTTGATAGGGTCTGGGACCAGTGCCCACTCCCCTAGCAGAGATGGGTCTCTACACCTGGCAGGGCTGGGCGGGGAGCAGTTGGAGCCCTTCTGGGATTGTTGCAGGACCAGGAAGGAACTCACCAGCTCTTCCCACAAGGCAGGCTGTGGTTGGGACAGCCCATTTTAGGTCCCTTACCATCAGTCCTCTTGGCTCTAGACCACACATTTAGGCAAAATGTTTGCTGGCTCCCTTTCTGGGTGCTTGAACTTTTACAATGGTTTTTGTGCTAAGTCGCTAGCTTGACGGATTCTTATTTGTGGTCGCAGAACCCAACAGAGCATCTGGAACCAAATGTAGGATGGACGGTTTTGGTCATGATGTTGCAGAAATCTCTACTCTGTTTCCTGTAAATGGTGCTGAGTTTTTCTCAGACTTGATCCTTGTCCTGTGACTTGGCCAAGCGCTTTGTTGCAGCGCAGGTCTGAAGAGCATCATTTGCATCCTTCGGCAGCGGCCTGTGCAGGTATCCATCACGTTCTGAGCTATGGAGCTCTTCATTGGGAGCTCGGTTTGCGAACTCTCCTTCCACTTGGCTTCCCACCAGCTTCCCCTGCTGTCCTCTGTCCCTACCAATGTGGTCATGGGCTAGAAAATCAATAAAGCTCTTAATCAGAGACAGTGTGCAGTAACAACAGCAGCTGGCTGGTCCTAACTCGTAGATTCTAGTACAGGAGGATGCTCAAAAGACAGCCAATGGCGAGCTCTGGGATGAGGCTCACCTGGAGCCCTGACTTTTCTGCTTTTGTTAATTTATTTTGACTAATTAGTTATTGCAGTGTTGAGGCTTTGTATATACTAGGCAAGCATACTATCACTACTCCTAACTCCTTGATGGTGGATTCAGGAAGGCTTCTTTCTATTAGCTGAGCATACCCCCAGTCCCCCCACTGGTGGATTTTAGACAAGACTCTATCACCAAGTTGCCACTCCCCTAACCCCTATCTCCTAGTGAGCATTCTACTGCTAAGCCATTACCCCAGTGCATGGGATGACTTTTCTAAGCTTCTCTGGTTTAGCTTCCACGGTCCCCGCCCGTGTGGCCCTTATCTCCAGACTCAATGTGGGAAACCTATGCCCCTCCTCTTCTGTCAAAAAATAATCAAAACACCCGGCTACTTTGAGTCATTTCCCCACCCATGGCTTTCCCCAGAGAACTCACAAGATTCATCTCCTTGCAAAAGTGATATCACTTTCACAGTGAATCTGTTTCTACAGTCTTTCTGTATTGAAGGCACTTCCCATATCCAGGGTAAACAAGCATGGCAGTTAGCAGCTGTGCGTTAGGAGCACACTGGGAGACAGACAGTGTGGCTTCCCTTGTCTTGGTGGGTAGGAAAGAACTACTCCTACCATGCCTCAGCAGATCAGGATTGGAAGACCTCAAGCGTCCTTCAGATCCAGGTGTTCCTGGGAGTTTAGGAGCGTCTAAGGTTTGACACCAGGGGCTCTTTTGAAAAAAGTTCAATTATTTTATGTGTGTATCTGAATGCCTGCTTGTACATATATGCATCACATACATGCCTGGTGCCTGTGGAAACCAGAAAAGGGCATTGGATCCCCTGGAACTGGAGTTACAGACTGCTGTGAGCAGCAATCTGGGTTCTTGGAATTGAACACTGGTTCTTTGGAAGAGCAGCCAGTGCCCTCAACCACTGAGTCATCTCTCCAGCCCCAATCAGCAGCTCTTTTTGCTGCTGTCTTTAAGAAAGGGTCTTTCATGGCTGGTTTGGAAGTCATTATGTAGTCCAGGCTTGCCTTTAATTTGCATTTCTCCTCCTGTGACAGCCCCCAGTGTGCTGGGATGATAGGTGTGGTGCTACCTATCTGACCCAGTGAAGGGATTTTTTTAAATTTTAATTTTGTTTTCTCTCTCTCTCTCTCTCTCTCTCTCTCTCTCTCTCTCTCTCTCTCTCTCTCTCTCTGTGTGTTTAATTTATTTTTGAGACAGAGTCTCATGTAGCTCATGTTGGCCTCAAACTACTGATCCTTCTGCCTTTAACTCCCGAGTGCTGGGTTACAGGTATGTGCCACGGACCTGGTTTATGTTGTGCTAGAGATAGGACCCAGGGCATCCCTAAGCCAGGAACTCTTAAAACAGTCAAGTCCTATCTGACTCTGGTTGTTCTTTAACAAGGTCGTTTTTCTGGGCTGGAGAGATGGCTCACTAGTTAGAAACGTATACTGCTCTTCCAGGGACCCGAGTTTGCTTCTAACACCCACATCAGGCTGCTTACAACTGCCTACAAACCCCAGGGAATCAGATGCCCTCTTCTGACCTCCATGGGCACCACGCCCATCCCCTCCCTCCTCGCCACCGCATATGATTAGACATAAATGGCGATAAAATAATGTGATTGGATTTTCGCCTTGAGTGTTTTGGTTCGGCTATGAACTAGCAACTAGGTGATAAAACGCCTTGTGCAGAGGTAGGTTGGTCCATACCAACTCTCTGCTCAAACCTACCCGGTGCAAGTTGCCGGTGGGGAGGGTCGGGTGGGGGCAGTGAGTTGGGAGCTCACGGTTTAAGCGAAGTAAATCATCAGAGCCCAGCACCATAAGAGAAGAAGGAGAGGGCGGAATCCAGGCTGACTGACACAGTGAGCGTTCACCTCCTAGGATGAAGGAGAACGCAAAGGGAGGGCCGGAGTGGCCATTTTCTTGACCGCAGGGAGGGAGGCATGGGCTTTTATGAGGACCGTGGTTCTTGGGTTCTGAATCACTAAATCACACTAACCCAGTGCCTAACAGGGTTAGTGACGACAGCAAACGCTGGAAGGGAGGGGGGAGGGTCTGATAGGAGTGCTGGGGAGAAGGGCCTGGGGTGCGGGGGAGGGGACGGCGTGAAAGGGGCCATGGTAGCATGCTGAGCTGTAGCCCAGGGATACCCAGAACTGAG